CCCATGCCCCGTCTATCTCATAAAAGTCAAGGAGCCAGGAGCCATGCGGATGACAGCCAGTCACAGACATCAGGATACATCAGGAGCAGGCCGAGGAAGAGGCTTCTAATTGCCGTTCTTCTCTTCCTGCTGTGGCATCACCTTTTGTCTGCAAGGTAAGCTTTCCGAGCCGATACCATGAAAGGCAGCTCTCCAACCTTAAAGCCTTTAAAGGGTTTCCTCTCACACCCTTTATGGTTTCCAACTGAGGCTCCTGCTTTGGGCTTCACCGAGATGCCAATGACTGTCTCGGAAAGGGCTGCAGGAGCATTGTGGGGCCTTTTCGCTGGCGATGCTCTGGCAATGCCAGTGCGCCGAGTCATAGAACATGGCTTCAGTCATAACTTCTGCTCCTCTGTGCCTTCATCTTGTGGTTGCAACAGAGGCACTGGTACTACGGAGGGCCGGACCAGATCCGTGATGACTTCGGCGGCAAACTGTTGTCCGGCTTCCAGCGGTCCGTTCATCCGTACCCGGACTCCATTATGCAGCTGAGCAACACGGGAGGAGGCGGCCGAGGGAGCGATGAAGGAGATGTAGTCGGCGGAATCATTCTGCATGACAAGAAAGAGTACTGGCGACGGGGCGGCCAGTTTCACTACCACCATACCTTGGATGCAGGGGAGAACACATTGGAAGCTTCCCTGGTGCAGGTTCTGCTGCGGAGCTTCAAAGACACAGGCCGATTCTCTGCAGATGATTTTCGCCAGCGCTACATCGATTTCATGACGACGCCTGGCTCCCACAACGACACCTATGCGTCCACATGTCACAGGATGTTTTTCCAGAAATGGCGGGCAGGGATCAACCCAAAGGAGTGTCCCGACAATGACGGGCACAACGTCGACACGATTGATGGCTTGGTGCTTCCCAGTGTGGCCGCTTTGCTGGCATTTGTTCAAGGGCATGGCGTGAGCGCTGCCACTGCGTCAGCTCTAGAAGCGCTGGCTGTCACACGCTCCTCCCAGGTGCCACCTGTAGCAATCAAGATGTGAATGCTGCTGATGTTGACTCGTAGTCATGTCCAGGGACACTGTTGCACGGCTCCGCAGGCATGTGTGTCTGCGCAGGTGCTGCCTGAGTTTGTCCGGGCTGTTGTGCATATGCTTGACCAGGCGGACTTACCAACATTCAAAGTAGACACGGTTGCAGTTGACGCCATCTTCGAGACTCGTGGAGGTGCTTCATGGGTTGCCCTTGGACAAGGCAGCTGCAAAGACAGCAATGGAGGCTTGCGCACAGCAGCTGTATTCCAATGCTCTGATTTTTCTGTGCGCAAGGCGTATGGGAGTGATTTGGCCGAGTCAGTCCGCAAGCGCGGCAAAACGGATCCAGCCCCTTGGTGGATTATGAGCTCTAGGCTGGTAGAAATGTGGCTCTGGGATCTCGAGTCGAAGCCAACCTAAGACCAAGCTGCAACATTGAGGCAGTGTGAGGCAAGCTGTATACGCCTTGGAAGACATGTGAGAAGCTGCCTATGAGGTTGTTGCCTGCTACATTGGTGGCTCGTTCCCTGCGCTGTGCCTGCCTGAGGATTTTCTGCCTGAAGGCTGAGAGGTGGGCTGTGAAGGATGGAGCGTCTCGCGTGCACCTTTGGTTCAAGCAGCTTCTGATACAGTAGCTCATGTCCAGTGGAGCGATAATGGACAGCTTGAACTAGCTATTATAACAACCTCAATATATTATACCATAGCATAGTAGCTTTCATTTTCTTTCCCAGTATTCTTATAATGACATAAATCTCTTTATATGTACGTTTATTCCTTATTCTCTCTCTCTCTCTATATATATTCCTTATACAATCCTCTATATACATATATATATATATAATCCCTATATAATCCTCCATTTATATATATACTCCTTATATAATTCTCTCTATATATAATCCCTATATAGTCCTCTATATACATACATATATATACATATATTCCCCATATAATCCCTATGCAGGGATCTACTAGGCCGGTCTGCAGACTGTTTATGGCAACCCTGGGATGGCAACGTGCTTGACTGGAGCTGCTGAGCAGCTGGTAAGCCTGGCTTACAAGGGCTCAGAGGCCGGAAAATGCCATTATACGGGTATGTAGGGATATATATAGGGATATATAGGGTTTAAGGTTAAGGAACTGAATTTAAGTTACTATGTTGGGATTTAATTTTGGGTTTGAGGTTTAGGGTTATGTATACCCCTATAATGGAGAATCAAACGGAAAAGAACATGGACATGAAATGGAAAGTGAGTGTTTGTGGAGAACCCTGGGGGTAATTTTGTCATGATATAGGGAATAAAGAAAATGGACACCACTATAGTGGGTTATATAGGCTGTTGGCTTCGGCAGCCGCCAGGATGTAGAACAGCTTCTGCAACATGGCTTGCCCGTGCCAGAGGAGCTACTTTTCAGACAGTTTTTGCAGCATGCTGTGACAAGATTCCCATAGCTGATGGGGTGGGTAGACCTTGCCAAGGAGCTGTCGAACTACTTGCAGTTTTCGGCTTCTGGTGGTGATCTGTGCGAAGCTCGATTGATCATTGGTGAGTTGCGATACGGTCCCCTTAGGGCGTAGGCTGACAATTTGTATGACTTGCATCCCAGACTGCCTTGTGTTCTGCCTGAATGGCGTGCTGCACTCTTGGCCACCTGGTGCCTAGTGTTACAGCAGGATGCCGCAGCAGACCTTTTCGAGGAGGACAGCTCTGAATGTTGGCGGTAGCTTTGTTGCGGTTCCTTGTGCAACACTGCACGCATGCAAGCCTGCGCCCTGGTTGCCTCTGCATGGCTCAAGCAGGATGAAGTTGCTTTCCTTTCATGCCTCGGACATGTCAGACATGACAGCTATCACGTGTACTGGAGGAATCACAGGACGTGCAGGTAGGAACAAAGGTATGGCTCACTGTTGTAGACTGCAGACTCATTAGTATCCCCTTGCGGTTCCTGTCATGGCCGTAGTGGAGGACTGGAGGGTGAACTGCTGATGATGGTGAGGTTGGTGTGGGTGGCCGTGAACCGTCCATGTAGGACAATGAGGATGGGGTCATGCAATATCTCAAGGAGAAGAAGGAGAAATCTGTAGGACTGGCGAGGCGCCAGAAGCCTAAGGCCTCGCTCCTTGTCCGCGACACAATCCTTAGTGGTTTCCTAGCTTCAGCTGAATTGTACTTTTTCCGGCAACTCTTCAGCAGCAAGGCTCGGGGCAGATGCTGCTATGGAGTACCTCAAGGCTTCATTTGTAGCATGCTTGCTTCATGGAGAGACAGTCCTTCTTTGCCCATGTGACCGATTAAACAAGTATTCGACAAGGGGCAGCTGGCGAAGCAGAGTGGTCAGCCCGTAACTGCTGCGGTCAAAGTGAGCCCAAGGGTGCCACAGCTCAGCCTTGGTCATAGCATCAGCTCAACGCCTGAAACAAGACCCTCTTAGCGTCCCAGGCCTCGCGGGACTTCCTCCGCGGCATCAAGTTGTCAAGTGAAAGGACCCAGCGGCTTGGGCGACATGTTCGCTGGTCCTTCTACAGTCGCAGAAACTTGTGTGCCTTGCAGGAGAAATGGTCTTGCGGATGGTCGTGAAGGACAGAAGGTTTCATTGATTCATCAAATGCCGACGCGGCATAGCTCGGGCAAACATAGATATGCTTGCATTGTGTGTGCACCTGGCCCGAGGACGCGGAGACGATCCTGGGAGCGCAACAAAAAAGGTACCTGCAGCGAAGGCAGCTGCCAGGTCATCCGCCTTGGCTACATCCAAGAACTCAGAGGAGCATACGGCTCCAGAGAAGTCGAGTAGCGATGCTGCTTCCTCTGGAGGGGATGTCCGAAAGTCGCTCCAGCTTATGCGCGACAAGACCGGAATACAGCGCAGTGCTTCTGCGAAGAGGTGCCGTGCGGCCAGGAAAGAAGTTGGGCCATTAGTGCGCACAGCGCGCAGCTTGAGGCTTCCTGCTCGGCACGAATCCCTTGAACGTGCCAGTCCGCGCATGGGGTTAGAAATGTCCCCGAAGCCTCCAGCGACGAAGGCTGTAAAGTCCTACGTGCAAACAGCCCCTCCAAAAAGTCCAATGGTTTCACCAGTGCTAGGTGCAAGACGGGTGCTGCAAGAGACTCACTTGAACGTGAGCAACCAGCTTTTGAGCAAGCCTCTGTCAGCTCCACCCAGTCCTGACCAGTGGCTCCGCAGATCGCCGGTTCCGCAAACACGGGCTGTCCTTCGGTCAGTATCTCCAGTGGCGACCCCCCAGCAAGCTCAAGGCAATTGCAATTGGCAAGTTAAGCAAGAAGAGGTTGCGCAGGAAGCAGGCCACTATGCAACGGGGGGCTCTATGGCAGTGCGCTCTCCCCCTGTACCATGGCAATGTCAGCCTGGAATGCGAAGCCCGCACTTCCCTCCACCTGCTGCAGGGAGCCCATGTGTGCCAGCTGCCAGAGTGGAAGGGGTTCGAAGCTGCCACGATGGTATACCAGAAAAGGCAGCTTACATGAGTACTTTCGGTGGAAGGCCAGGTGGCACATGTTCACCTGCACCCAGTTTCTTGTTGCCTCCTGGTGCGGGTATGCGGCCAGTGCAGCTAAAGCTTGCACCAGTGTGTGCAACCCCTCCATCTCCCATGACTCCCTTGGTGCCATGTCGCGATGGTCAGGGTCGGGATGGAGTCGCGGAGTGGCGCGCAGTGGCAGTGCGGGCACCGATTGCCATCCCTTGGTTTCCTAAAACGGATCCGCCACCCCCGAAGATCCCCTTGCTGCAGCATCAAACAGCTGCGGTGGCCAGAGCAACCTTCGGAGCCAGTCCCACAAGAAGGAGGCAGATAAATGTCTAAGGCCTGCAATGGCAGCCTGCATTTGCTGTACAGACTTTCTGCGAAGGGCAAACGCCTCTTCCGTGTAGTGGTAGACGTGCTGAGATGGAGGTGTTCAAGCTTAGAGTGATCTATCAGCAGTGGCCATCGCGAGGTTCCCAGAAAGCTCAAACATCTCCAGAAGTGCCTTAGAGCCGGCACCAAATGAGTTAGCCAATGCATCAGCCAGGCACTCTGCGCGACTTTGTCGGGATTGCCTCAATCAGTATAGTGAAAAAAGGGAGCGAGGATATCACATGAGGGCATGCGAAAAGGTTGTGCTTTTCACTTGCTTTCGAAGAGGAGGCCAAGGTGTCAGAGCTGCAGCAGACCCTTCGCTGGACCTAGCAAACTTGTATCGTTTGTCTTTTCCCGTTTTGCCGTATTGCGGGCCGCTATGGGCTGCTGCTGTGCTATAGGCCATACCTGGGCAGCGACCATGCGCTGCACCTCTCCTCCCCCAAAGTCGCGGCTTTCCTTGCGACGCTCTTCTCAGAGGTCGCAGAGGCAGCGCATCTGTCCTTGTCTGGCCTGGAGCTTAGTTTACGTCAAGTTCTCAGAGGTCAGGTCATGCGCTGTCATGCTCTCAGTGGACAGGTTGGGACCTCTACCATGGCAACTTGGCCTGACATAGCGACTGAATGGCTGCTTCTTGCAAACAGCCTTATGGCAGGCCATCTCGTTCTCTTCTCGCACAGCAGCTCTCCCATAGGGTTCGACTTGGGCATCTTATTTCATGCCAAAGAGCATCCAGTCGAGTTTACAAACCGAATAGGTCCGATGCAGGCCGTTTGCTCACCGGAAACCGGTGGAGAGCGTGATCCACGCAGAGGGACGAAGCTGTCAATAACTTGCCCTGACTTCTGCGACCGCAACTTCTTGTGGCTGCTGTCTCTGAACTCCACGTTCCGAATCCGGGTCTGCAAGGACTCGAAAAGAGTGGCCGAGTCTTCTCTGGCCTGGGAGTTGCTTGCACCTGGTGCCGCGGGCTCCCGTTTCTTCACCATCGACGAGTCCCACTTTGGCTTGCAGCTTGGGTCATTGTGCTACCTGCCAAAGGGGCATGACCCAGCCTTCCCGGCCCCATGTCAAGCCCAGCAAACCGCTGAAGCCGTTGAGGACATCTTGTGTTCTCCATGTCATGGCTTCCCCGCAGACTGGCATCTGGCTCGCGAGCTGCGAAGGTGTCCAGACTTGACAGAAATGGAGGCTCTCAAAACATTGCCTGCGGTAGATGCTGATCTCCTACAGTTGCTTCGCAGCTCTGAAGACGTGTCTGCACAATCCGCGCAGCGCCGGAAGCGTCTCCAGAGACTGGGTACGCCTGAGAAGAGGCGTCGACTCTGTTCGTGTGCGGAGCAGGCGCACTTTGCCTGCAATGTGATGGTCAGACGCGGAGTTGACTTGTTTTTTTCATATCCTGTGAGCAACTGAGGTTCCAGCTACGCCAGAATATGCTAAACCAGGAACTGCAGAAGCGCCAAAGTACAGCGATAGAGCAGTTGCTGGCCAGTGGCTTCCTGCTCGGAGATGTGCAGGCCGCTCGATGTGTGAGACCAAGCTAGCAGGGATTCATGCTCCACACTGTAGTCACTGCAGTTGTGGTTCTTAGCACCTTCTTGCCACAATGCTGATGCTACTGAACTGTGGTGCGGCTCACCTTGCAGAGGCACACGTGAGCAGCGGCAAAGGCCTCCCATGTGCAAATTCATACGAGGGTTAACGTAAGCTGTAAAACAAAGATTGGCTGCGTATGGCCGCGTCAGCTGTTATGGTGTGCGATAGCCCACGACAGTGATGGCAAAGATGCGTCTGCGTCAGCTATTCCTCGGGTCGCGTCAGTTTGCGATAGGCGCGGGCGATAGCGCAACGCTATTCAAAAGTCTTTTGGCCACGGCTCACGTATCTCTCATCCAAGAAAATCGCGCCAGTTGACCTTGGAACTCCTGCCACAAGCCCAGTTCCCTTAGCAGCCTTAGCAATGTGATTATTGCGCAAGTTAGTCCTCTTATAAAAAAGGCATTGTGCAGATGAACCTGATGCCTCGGGGCTCGGGACGCGAGCTTCACAACTTCATTGCGATCGTCCTGTGGCCTTTAGTTGTTGCTAACAAAACCTTCCTGCGAGGAAGTGATGCCACACTGTGATGGCAGCGCAGTTAGATGCGAAGCGGTGCTGAGAGTGGCCTTTGTGTCGTGCCTGCAATAACAAGAGTTGAAATTCCCAACAGGGCGAACAACTGCTTTGGCTGCGAGTCATGTCGAAGTTAGGAATTCAGAAGCCTGGCATTTCCTCGGTCTTCACCTCAAGGCCAAGTACCGCTCTGCGGCGGAGCGCGCCGCTGCGGGGGCCCTCAGCGATGTCGCTGCCGCTGAGGCACGACCCAAAGGCAGTCCGAGTGGCTGCCGGATGTGCTGCCGGGTTCAGGGCTCATGATCATGATGCCAACAGGCCCATCGAGTTCTTTTTGACATCTCACCCTGGCACGGCCCTCAGCTAAGTCATTCGCTACACGGCGAAATAGCATGGCAACGCATGACAAAGCAGTCCACATCCATGTTGGCGCAGTTTGTGGTGTGTGGCAAGTGTGGCAATTGTGGCAAGGCTTGGGGGCTGTCCAGCCTTGGCCCTGCGGGCACTGTCCTCCTCGGAGCCCTTGCTAGAGGCTGTTGCCGGCATCGCAGCCGAGCAAGAGGTGCAATCCGCTTCAAAACCGCAAATTTAACCTTGTTGACAGTCTTGCAGGCACATTTTCGTCGAGAGAGCAACGAGCGCTTCGACAAGACAGTTGGGAAGAAGCAGATATCCTCGATGTGTGCAGTGCCTCAGCTGGTGTGATTGTTTTACGGCAGTTGAGAAGAATGACCATATGAGACATGTGCTAGTGAAGCGAAGTTTCTTCAAGTGCCGCGGTACATGTTCCGGGTCAATCTCAATCCTCATAGCAAGACATTCCAGGCAAGATTAGCAAACCTGTTTGACTTTGCCCCGCAGTCCTCCCTTGATACCAACCTATACATCTCCCACACAAGCCGAATTTACCCCAACAAGCCCTGTATCCCCCTTCATGACCCCCATAATACTCCCCTATATAATCCCCTATAGAACCCCCAGTAAGGAGTTTAGACTATAGTCTAAAGTTCATATCTGGAAAGCCAGGTCGCTTCCAACACAGAGCGCCGGCTTTGCCCAGCATTTACGGGGGGCTGCTGTGCCTTAGCTGCACCAGCTTCTACATTAGGCTTCAGATGGTTTAGGGCTTAGGGTCATGCGGAATACCCAGGGGTTGCATAGGGGTGTACAGGGATCTGTGGGGTTTCGGTTTAGAGAGTAGGGTTTCGGAGTTGATTTGGGGGTTTCCAAACATTGGGGATCTTTTTTGGGAGGTCCCAAGAATTAGAATTATAGTGTATTGGGGCCTCCATTTAGGGAAACTCCCCACTTAATCTCACAAGCTTGCCTGTTGAATCAATCTCTGAGGCCCTGACATTCGGCGGTTGCTGAGCCATATACCCGAACTGCTGAAGTTTGGAAAAAGCTTCGTGCGTGTAGACTGGAGATCACGCAGTTTGCTGAAGTGCTCGCTGCAAACTTGCGAAGAAATGGTCACCGATCAAGGCTCCACTTTGCCTACAAGTATGCCGACTTTGATGCTTGGGATGCGTTGCTTGCTTCTGCAAACGCTGGTGGCGAGAACGTGCACCGCAACGAGGCACAGATTCTGAGTGGCTTTACCCGATGTCTAATGCTGTGCCGGAGGTGCTTGGCGTGTTGCTGGGCGCAGCACAAGGTCGAAAGGGCTTGAAGACGAAGGAGGACTCATTAGGACTGCTGGCTTCGGCCCTGAGCGGCCTGCCCTAGGCTGCCTCTCGCGCAGGAAGGTTTGAAGCACTTTCAAGAGCTTGATGAGTTGATTGACACCACGCTTGGGCAGGCATGGTCTGGTGTCAATTGTTCCGCATCAGACGCTGTCTGAAGTCTTCTCTTGCAGGCTTCATTGCGTCGATCCTCCGACCTCTGACATCCTCTGACGCTCTGCGGTAAGAGGTGCTCACAAAACCCCACAAGGTACAGCTCGAGATCAGGACCTGAAGCGCTGTCAACGAGGGATTCCCGAGCTCATTTGCCGGTGTTACTCCGGCTTTTGGGTGCGGAGCCTCCAGCATGAGACTGTTGCCAAGGCGCTGACGCTCAGCTGCGGCTTGCCACAGGGAGACGCAAAAAGCACACTTCGACAAGTCAGTTCACGAGTCAAAGGCTTCGAATGTAACTCGCTTCATCTCCAGCCTGTCATAAGCAAGGCCTTCGGGCGATCATGCAGCAGCTCACCGAGGCCCGGCCCTTGAAACCAGAAGCTCAGAAGCTTAAAGCTGCGGACTGCGCTGCTCTTTAAGGCAATTGCTTCAGGGCGAGAGGCATGCCTGTGTGGCGCACAACCTGCAAGTTCCGATGTGCCAGCCTCCGTGAGATCAGCATCGAGATGGGTGTCGGCACGCTTCGCTCCTCCCATCGCGTGGTCACATTTAGCTTTTCAGCGGCTGGGTGCTTAATGGACGGGAAGGGGTGAAGGATATATCAGAATGTCAGAGACAGTGGGGGCAACATGGTGCAGCCTCAGGACTTGTACGCAAACGAGGGCCTGCAAGCACCGCCTGATGCGCCGTTTTGAGCTCAGCCACGGAAACGACAGGACAGGTGCAGTTGACTTCACAGTGCAAGAACAAGGCAAAGCCGGCCTGTGAATACCTTTGCGCCGCCGGCAGATGTTCTGCTCGGCTCCCAGACCCTCCTTTGGATCTGCATACGCCTTCCACATCTACTGCTTTGGAGCGCCAGGTCTCTGACAGTGGATTCCAATCAGTTCCGCGGTACGGTGAAGGCGGAAAAAGTAGGCTCAAAGGCTCCCGTTCGGTTGCGTTTGGAATGCTCAGGCGACCGATTTGGGAGGCTTCCAAGATGGCTTCAACTCGACAGGAACGGCAGATTCAGCCTGAGTCACTCTCGGACCAACACTTGGGGACATTGACCCTATGTTTGAAATTTCAAACATTTAAATGGGTTGATGTTTCAATTGTTTTACTTAGGCTGCAAGTGCCGTGGGCAGTGGCATTTCCAAAGAGGAACTTGCCCAGCGGGAGGTGCAAATTCGGAGTCTACGAAAGCTGACGTTGTTCATCCAGTCACAAAGGCGAGGGACCGCCACCTTGCAGACATTTCGGAAGAAGCCGAGGAGGCTGTGCAGCAGTGATGCCCCCGGTAACAGCTGAACACAAGTGCTGCAATGTTTTGAGTTGACCAGCTGTACGTATGGTTCAGCTTGCAGCACGGGACCCGAGCCCACCATGACCAGACGAGCCAACATCCATGAACCGCGCAGATGCACAATGTCTCACTTGGAAGGAGGGCCATGCGGCGCCATGTAGCATGTCTAACTAACACGGTCAGTTGGTTACAGGTTGTCGGAAAGACCGCAATGGCAACTGATGGTAGCGGTGGCAAGCGTGTCCCGAAATCGACGAAACATGCCAAGACGCCGCTTTTTCCACCCTGCTCGCAGCTCGCGTATTCCAGGTCAGCTAGGCTTTCAAGCAGAAATGCGCATGGCAAACTCGCAGAAGCACTTCCCCTGACAGATTCTTGGATAAGCTGGGGGACCAGAGACGTGCCCCGGAGTGGACTTTCAATCGGAGTGCCAGTGTGCTTTGGCTGCATTTTCTTGGGGACCTGTGAGCGCCGTGAGCTTGTGACTTCTGCTTCAGAAATCAAGCGTGCCAGTACTTGTCTGTGTGCAGTCATGTGCAGTCTGAAAGCTTGCTGCATGCCAGCAATTGTGGCTTAGTGAGCAATAGGGACTGACCCATAGGTGGTAGGGCGCCGCCATGGCGAGCTACATGATGCCGGGCTACGGCATGCAGCAGCAGGGGTACCCGCAAATGCAGATGACGGCAGAGCAGCAGCAACAGTACCAACAACAGTACCAGCAGCAGTACCAGCAGCAACAGATGCAACAGCAACAGTACCAGCAGTACCAGCAGTACCAACAGCCTCAGTACTCACAGTACCAGCAGGCTCAGCAGGCTCAGGCCCAGCAGGCCCAGCAGGCCAGCCAGCAACAAGCCGGCTCGGGTGCCTTGACAGTCACTGGCTGCGCCGATGCAACGGTCGGGAACATCGTGCGAGGCACTTTTTCCTTGCAGACAGAGAACCATGGCCGTCCCGTGTACAAAAAGAACGAGCCTGTAGCCAACAATCCCACGCTGGATGTCCTGATTTACTTTTGGGATGAGCGTGATGGCGCCAATTTTTGCGGCTGGTGGTTTGGTCCCAAAGTAGGAGGGGACCAAGTGTGGGCTTACAACAGTGAGCGCAGTGCTCAGCCTCCGTCAACTGGTTGGCGTGTCCCCTACGACGGTTCGGTAGACCCTTCCTTTGTTATAAGCTCTGGTGCACAGGGCTACAGCCAGGCCTACCAGCAGGCATATGGACAGCAAGGGTATGGCCAGGCTTACCAACAGCAATATCAGCAACAGTATCAGCAACAAATGCAGCAGCAGCAGTACCTCCAGCAAAAGCAGCGGGATGATGAAATGGCCAGGCGCCGGCAGGAGGAACAGCGCCGGGCAGAGCAACAAGGTGTGATGAACTGCCAAGCCATCCTTCAGAAGCTCGCAGCCGTGACCCCTGAGAACTTTGACCACATTAAGGATGAGGTTGAGAAGATGGTCATGCAAGAGCTGCCCAAGTGTGGAAGCCAGGCTGAGGTTGTAAAGGCTGAGGCGATGCAGCACATTCAAGCCGCACAAATGCGCGTGGAGCAAATCAAGCAACACCGAGCAGAGGAGGAGCGACAGAACCAAGAGCGCATGGAAGAAGCCAAGCGCATCCTCGCAGAGCTCGGGGGCTTGGTTGAGAAGGCAGAGCAAGACACAGCCAGCCTGAAGACAACTGCGGCTCCGGTCCTGGAGTCCAAGTCTATGAGCGAGGATGAAGCACGCGAGGCGGGCAAGTCAGTCAGCGCCGTTTCAGTGTCAGCCAAGGCCTCCTGCAAGGTGTGTTCAACCTTCATCGTAGAGCGGAGGATGAGCATCGATGCAGTGAAGCCACCTTACCTGGCTCAGCTTCGAGAAGAGCAGCTGAAGCTCCAAACGCGCATACAAGAGTGCTACAAGATAGTTGTGTCATCAACTACCTCAGCCAAAGAAATGATCGACAAGGCTGTCAGAAAAACTCATGCCATGAAGGTTTTTGCCAAGCGCACCTCCGCCTTTGACAAGTACAACTCAGCGAAGGATGGTTTCCTGAGCGCTGATGACATCGTCGCCTATGCCAAAGGTGAGTTCCGCTTCCCGCTATCCAAGGAGGCGGCCAGCACCATTTTGAAGAAGCACAGTGATGGTGGCAAGGGCGTGGCGCGGACACGCTTCCAGCGCGTGAAGGTAGCTGTGGGCATAGCCCGAGAAGAAGAGGCCTCCATGGCCAGGCGCCGAGAGGCGGAGCAGAAGAGGTTGGCTCTGGAGGCCAAGAAAAAAGTTATCGAGGCAGACATCCAGAAGGTGGTTGACACTCTTGCTGATGCAGAGCCTGCAGTGACGAAGGCAGAAGAGGCAGGCAAAGCTGAGCACCTGTCAACGGAGTACCTCAAGGGGAACCCAGGCAGAGAAGAGGTTGCTTCAGCAAACGAGGCGGCTGCCGCTGCTCTCAATGATGCTCAGACTGAGCTGTCTGACGTCCGCACGCGCCTGACCGACCTGGCAAACTCCGCAGATGAGGATGTCAAGCAATGGGTGCAGACCGAGATTCGCAAGGTCGATGTCAAGGTATTGCAGATGGATACCCGATTGATGCAGACCAAGCTGGCAATGGAGCGGGGCCAGAAGTACCTGGAAAAGTTAGAGGCCACGGAGCTCTTGAATGCCAGGGCAGAGGTCAGCAAACGTCTTCGGGCCAAAAAGATGGGTGTGGAGGATCTTTTCAAGACTGTCGACAAGGATGGTGACGGCGCGGTAAACCTCTCAGACTTCACATCCTTCCTGCAGGCTGATGGTTGTCAGCTAGATGCAGACAAGATGGACAAAGCCTTCGGCTACTATGATCTGGGCACTGGCGTCATCAGCAAAGAGATGTTGGTCTTGGCTTCTAGATGCTATTACCTGGTGGTGGCCGAGACGGTCATGACAGAGCACGAGGCGCTGGAGGAAGGTTCAGCCTTGCGGCGTTTGGATCCACGAGAGCTGGTGGAGATTCTGGAGGGCCCCGCAGAAGAGAAGAATCCTGGAGTTCCACGGGCAAAGTGCCGTGCAGTCATGGATGCCGCTGAGGGCTGGGCCACCATCACAGGGAGTAGTGGCACTTCCTTTCTAGTCCCTAGCGAAGGGAACCTGGACGTGCTTAGAGAAACTCCGCTGAACAGTGAGCTCGAGGAGAGTGCAACAGTTCGTGAACTTACTCCCGGCGAAAAGGTGGAGATCTTGGAATGGAACCAGAAGAGTGCCAACGGCGACACTAGGGTGAAGGTCCGGGTGAAGGGATCTTCCGACATCGGCTGGGCGACAAGGCTCACGGCTGAGGGCACTGAGATTCTTAGGATTTCAATGACCCCAATGAGTTGAACCGTGTGAAATCAGTGAGTTTTGACAGAGCCGCTGAGGGAACGTCCTTGGCTGTAGAAAGTCTGTATAAGAAATCCTTAAAGGCGGTACACACGCCGAACACTTTCGACTCTGCCATCTGCCTCGTGCAAAAGAGAGATTTTGAACTGCGTCTGTGCAACCTACAACGCGCTGTGAACATGCAATGCGCGCTGTGCCGGCTGCAAAACCTGCCACGCTCAGGATTCAGGTCTCCTGCACAAGACAGCCGCATCCAACATCCAGCCCGGCCAGTACAAGGCTGATCGTGACTTCGTCAATGACATCACCAGTGAAGTGCGGAAGGATGTGGACGCAAGATTCCGTAAAGCCCCGCGGATGCTTGACGCAGTTGAGGTCAGCTCGTGCATTCCGCTAACGAGGAAGAAAAGCGTTGTAGCATCACCTAGTCCAGGCATGTGCTCGCGCCTCCAGCAGAACTAGTCCCAAATAGAAGCGGCCCCCTGCAGTGCACAAGACGTTTTTTGTTGGGCCCAGCCTGAAATTTTCTCATGCTTAGCACCTCCTGAGATTCGCTCACTCCGAAGCCAAGGTGCACTTTTGGCGAGAATCCAAGGTATGACGAGTCGGGTGTTCTAAAAGGTGTACGGAATCCTGGCAACATGAAGCTTTGGTTCAATCCGGTTGGGCCAGGGCAGTACCAGCCACTGGATGGCCTTGAAACTGCGGCGAGAGTCCACTGGATGTCTTCACCTGCCTGGTCGCAGAGAAGAGGCAAGCCAGCAGAGGATGTCCGAGCTTCTAAAGCTGCGGGCTGTGCCCCTGGGCCTGGTTATTATGCGCCGGCGACTAAGTTGGAGCCACGTGGCCGACGGACTGTCTGCAAAAATGCAGGCCAGTTCAGTTTGATCTTCCGGCGCATTGCCACAAGTGTAGGGCCCAATCCGTCGATGCCGAGACGAAGATCTGAAGCAGAGCCGCTCGGCTAGGATGGTGGAGAGCGCGTCATCAAGCAAAGGAATAGCCGCTCAGCAAGCAGCGGGCTTGCGTTTGACAGCTGCAGCGCTCTCAAGTCTCACCTTGGAAGCTGTGACCTGCGCAGCCACTTGCGTGGGTGGCCTTGGCCAAATTGCGCCCTGCATGGTGTGAAAGCCAAGCCAAAGCTTCCTTGCTTGCCCCTTTGGCACTTCTTTGGTTCCATTGGCGCATTCACCCCAAAGTGCTAAGGAGAGAGCTCTGGCAGAACCACTTGAGGCAAGTGTGGCACTGTTGCTTGCCTTGAAGTCATCTTCACTGCCAGCTGTCATTGACGCAGGCGGTGTATGGAAGAGGAGAAGAAGGTCGGAGGGCGGTTTGCGGTCATGCTGGTCTGAATCTCCATAGCGCAGACGCAGGATTTGGATTGGAGAAACGCGATCGAGCGGGACTATAGAGAAATGTTAAAGGCCCACCTCCTAGATTCCTAGATGTATCAACAGACATCTGGGACAGTTCCAGGATCAGATCCGTGAAGCGCAGCAGCGACGGCGAGACGCAAAGCGCGAGTCAGTGGAGCAGGCGGGATGCGGGGAAGTCCAGGATGTTGGGCCGGGGCAGGGGCCGGGTGGCCGGGGTGCGCAGGCTTCCCTACATGGTTTCCCAGACTTCTCCAAGGAATCCAGCATTTCCGCAGAGCGCTCAGATGCGCTCAGTCTTTCTGCTAGGGCTTCCTTTTCTTAAAGTCGCAATGGTGGGAATTGCCCGTCAGGTGACGGACTACATGGTGGAAAGACGGCTTAACCTCAAAGACGACCTGGATCAGCAGGATGGGGATTGCGTGGTAAAGTACCGTGCAAGCGCATCTATGGAAAGCCAGTGCCAGGTCCAGTTGAAGAGGCGCCAGAAGGAACACAGGAAAGCCATCGAACATGCCGCGGTCCAAGCTGTGCACGGCAACCTGACTGCAACTTGTTTGTGTGGCTCTGCTCCTGCAAGGAGATGGATCGCGTCAACCACTTGGCAGCGCAGAAGGAGCTGGTGCAGCCTTTTGCCTGATCTTTCCGCGTCACCTTCCATGAAGCATCAAGTGGAGTCAGACCAAGGCAGCGGGTCAGAGATCGCGAGCGAGGGCGGCGGGTCCTTCAGGTGCGTGCTGGGATATGGATGCACAGTCCATCATATCCCGAACCCTCAGGACTGCTTGCAGAACTGGGAGGACACGAAGCGCTATGCCCCAAGCTGTTTGTGGAAATTGCTGGCATCTGCACTGTGCCGCATGCTCAGGCATCAAGGATGCAAAGGCCGCAATCACGCAGTTCAAGAAGTCGCCTGCAGCGCCCGGAGCTGGGAATGGCGCATGCTGCTCAATGTGCGTAGTGCTGTCCCTAAATCTTCAGGTCTGGCGCAGGTCTTGCTGATATGGTCTCTAATCTGCGTTCTGAGACAAGCTGCCAAAGTGCCTGGCTTAAGATCTCGAGCATGCCACATAGTTGCTTAAGGTGTGCTACTTGCACCAGGCGCGCGGGAGAAGACCCCGAGCAATCCACCGACGTCTGCGCAGTGACGTCCTCGATTTTATTGCTGCTACTATTATTACTTACAATTCTTACTATTAGTTCTATGGCATGGGCAGAGACCCCATACAGCAGGGACCGATTAGCCAGGCCGCGCAAAGTGAGCTTCTCGGCAGAGCTGCTGACGTCCCAGATCAGGCAAGCCTAGGATCCGCAAAGAATCACCATCTGCCGCTCTGAGGCCGGCAACTCCAAGCGAAGACGCAATGTCCATGTCCGAAGCTGAGAGCCAATTTCTTGTTCCAATTCCATGTTCTACAAGACTGCCCCCCGTAATAATCTAATCTCATCTGACCTCCGTTTAGCGAGGCCTCTGTCGAGTCGGCCAACCACGGGATCGGTGCGTCGCTTTCCCATCTCGGCAGCAGCGAATCTAGTTCTTGGCTCAGCTCAGTGAACAGGCCCTTGCCAAGTCGTGCATCGGCTTGCAAGGGGTCAGGGAAGGGTTGGCTTGGCGTAGCATTTGCTCCACAGTTTGCCCTGGCAAATCTTAGGCACTGACGAAGCAACGCCTCAAGGAACGCGGCATGATCTGAAATGTAGTTGACTTTCGTTCAATATCATTCAATTATTCGACTCTAGAATGTGCGATATTTCCAAGCCTGGCGTCCAGGCTTCGATCGTAGAGCCTCCTCTGCGAAGCAGAGCGAACGGAATCGACAGACTGGGATGTGCAGGGCGTTCTGGCATGATATTGCGAATCATCAATGGGATGCAAACTAGACTCCCGACACATTGAATCCTTCCGGCTGTCTGACTGCTAATGCCCAGACGCTTAACATCTGACGAGATGTTGCCAGCTGTAGTTGCACTATTTCCCCGGTTTCACGCTTTGACCATGGGGGCCCAAACTGGGTCCTCTAAGCGTGCGCAGTGAAAATGACTAGTAAGGTCAAGTGCCCGCTGTGCGTGGTGCGAAAGACTTGAAGTGCAGTGCTCAGGCTTGGAGATTGTTGACATTGTTTTGTCTAGTGTTCTGTTCACAAGTTGCACCCGCGCTGTTTTGTATCAGAGCTTTTCACGATCTGCAGTCTTTTACAAGGGGGTCTTTCTTGTATGCGCTGACGGTGGGTTGTTATCCCACTGGACGAACATCAGTAGTTCAGAAAAAGGGGATGCAGCCACACAGCAATGGCGGCAACGCCTCAAGAGGTTACGGCGGCAGCGATAGCACGTTGGGAGGCGCGGATATTGTAAGCCCACCAAGATTTGTTGTTCAAGTGGTCAGGTGGAAGAAGATGGCATCTGGAAGGCATGCGATGCACAGGATCGGCTTGCTGAGCTGTGTCTATAGGGCGTTGGACCCATCTCTTGCGCTATTCTGTTTAGGAAACGCATGCCCTGCGCTTGGCTGGTGCCGGCCTGAAGCAGCAGGTCGACTGCAAGGTAGAAGGCCGGAAAGACTGCAGGCTTTTTTGCGCGATGCAAATCTTCAAAGGTATAGCCGCAAATGTGGGCAGCATGCCAGCCTTCTCAGTTATACCATGGCGCAAAGTCAGGTGACATGATCGGGAGTTAGATCTTGAGGGACATATTCAAGTTCTGGGGCACTTGGGTCATGAGGACTTCACAGAACTGTAAGTGAAAATGCGCTTCGGAAGGAGCGTTCACAGGTCGCAGGTTGCCTACGAGCATGCAGCTTCAGGGTTGCAAGTCGTGGCATGCTGCTCCACGCAAGGCTGCAATGCAATTCTCTAATTTATGCGAGACGGGGTTGAATCACTGCAGCAATGGCAGGCCACATCCGTAAAGGGGCTTCTATAGGGGATTGCAAAGGGGAGTATTATGGGGATTATTACAGGGGATACTAGGAGTTTAGACTACAGCTCAATTGTTCACTGCTGCGAGGCAGATCCTGCGAGTTAGACCTTGGTCGGAAGGTAGAACGCGACAAGGTCACAGGATTTTGCAGGCTGGGCTGTTTTCTATACGGTGTGAATGTGGGTCTGCGGGCACCCTGATGCTGCTACAGGAAACTGCGAGTACTTCCTCAGGATGGTGTAGAAGCTGCAGCTGCCGCAGCCGCAGGGTGTCCCTCCAAACTTGGAAGTCCAAATTTCCTTAAGTGCACAGAGAGATTCGGCAGGGGCCAGCCTGACATCACGTTTATGCCCGGGCCACCAGCAAGGGAGGTGAGGTACAAGTCCAATGTGAAGAGATCTAGTGCCCTCCTGCTAGCGCAAGGCCTCTCCATCTCGCGCGAAGCGCACACTGTCTGGATACTTTGCGCGGACCAGTGAGCCAACGTCTCAGGCAGGCAGCTGCACAAAAAAAGGAAGACCCATTTTGACAGACCTCAGCATTGAAGGCCAAAAGCGCTCGGTTGGAACAACCTTTAGAACCTCCACATCAACCTCCCCAACAAGTTCGGCATCCTGATCAAGTTCACTATGGCAGTGCTGCCAGCTCAAGCTGGGCTCTCAGGCTCCGATTTCTTCCTTCTTCGTTCATCTTGCGCTACATAAATCCCAGTGGAATGGGGTGAGGGGCAGACAGTGGAGGGTGCGTTCGTAGCAATAGCCACAAGAAATCATCTTCCATGTATTCCAGGAGTGGACATGAGAGTGCCAGAAAGGCAAGATGCAGTTGACTCGAAGACAGGCCCTTGCCAGCCTGGGTCAGTCATGGCTGCCGCATCGAAACCTAAACATTTCCCGCTTTTGGTTAAGGGCTTGACACTAAAACGCATCATTGGAGCATCCTGTCCTGCAGACGTATCGTCGAGTTCCCAGGATCGCCATGTCTTCTAAGCCCAGTCAGCTAGCCGGCTCATACCAAGCAATGACATACTGCTGTTCGTGTCAGATGGATGCACAACTGGGAGTGTATCGGTTGATATGCAGCAGTAGGAGGGGTAGGATACGCTGGGGTGTCAGAAAACATGGCAGTGATTTTGGCGAGAAGTCTGGTCTGGAATCCTCAGCTCTCTGGTGCCCTGCGGCCCCGTTTGGTGCAGAGAGCTGCTACCAGTGCTTTGTCCCGTGGTTTCTGCCCTGGGTCGTTGGGGGTGCTGCATCCACCGGCCTTGCGGCGACCAGACATCCAAGCCCTGCCTTCTTTTGCGAGACTGTTTCCTAGAAGGCCTTTCACGTCAGTGCACGAGATTCTCGCCAATGGCGATATTCCGTTCCCCCGCGTCCGCGTGGTGGACGACAGGGGGCTGGTTGGCGACTTCAACTTGGGAGAGGCTCTGGCCTTGGCCAAGCAGCGAAGGACAGACCTTGTCGTCCTCTCAGGGGCGGTCGATCCGCCGCTCTGTCGGCTGGTAAATTTGCATGTTTACATTGACGAGCTGGAACGTCAAGCTGCCTCGAAAGAGCAACAGCAGCGTGAGCAAAGACTCAGAGAGTTCAGTTTCGACCCAGCCATGCGTGTCAAAGGTATGCGCTTCTCTTCGGTTATTGATGAGCACGATTTCGAGCGAAAGCTCAATCAGGTTCGGAAGTTTCTGGAGAAGGGGCATCGCGTGGAGGCCCGCATTCTTCAGAGCCGTGGAAAACCGGAAGACGTGCTGGACCTCGCTTTACGCATAATAGCTGAAGTACGGGATCTGGCAAAGCCTGAATACTTCGAGGAAAGCATCCGCGAGCTTCAGGTAGCTATCCACTCGCCCAAAAGTCTGAAGCGCACAGGCCGCGCCCCACCAGATGAGCTGCGAATGCGCCTGTGGCCATGTACTCCAGCACAGGCAGCTGCTTTCCAACTACCGGCCCACATCATAGGCCCTAGAAGGCGGCGTGGACCGGCAATCGTTGGTGTTGATGATGGCCCACAAGACGACGACGCGTGGAAGCTCAATCGACGGCCTCGTCCCGAATCACGCACAGCACGCAAGATTGACCTACGACGTCAGGCTTTGGAAAAGACTTCGCAAGATTGGGACCCGTCGTGACCGCCATGACTTTGCTGCGACAGTGTTCGGCGAAAGCTCCAACCAGCTGGCCAGCTGCAAGGCTAACGACAACGTCCTTCAATGCATCCAGAGTGGAGAGCATAGCCAGAGAGGGGCGCTGATGATCAGGCAAAGCGCTGGCTCCCGAGAACGGACCTGCAGCAAGCCATAAAATCGGCTGTGACCTTGCCTTGTGATCTGAGAGCGCTGGGTAGATGCCGCTTCTTGGACGAAGCTCGCAACAGGAAACGAAAGGATCGCCTCCATTTTCGAGGAGATGAGTGTTGTACAGAAGTTGCGTCGGGACCGGTTTCGCTCGCAGGCTCTGTTGCACATGCAGCGTGTCAGGCATTGAATAGAAGCTGATGCCAGGCCTATGCCAAAGCTGCACAGGCGCTCCGAGTCCATGGAGAGCCAATTGCCAGCGGCGCCCAAGCCAAAGGCATCGCAGGCATCGGCTCTGGCATGGCCGGTCGAATTGACGTGGCCTTCTCAGCCTTGGCAGTTCCTAGCTTCAGTTGAAAGGGTGCATGCTGCAAATCGTTGAAGGTTATTCTGGCGACGGGTGAGCTCAGTGAGCTGGAGGAGTTGAAGCGTGACAGTGATGTCATCGCGCTGCGTGAGCTGCGGTCAGCACGAAGCCTACTCCATTCCAGAGCGGTACACACACACATAACTTCTCCCCAACCTGTCCAGCAGACTGAAGTTTCGAAAAGAATCCGTATCCCCAAAAAAGCTGCCACTGATTTCTGTTTCAACCCGTGGCCACAATTGAAAGTGAAGACCGTGCTGGTCTCTGTGCCGCGCTTGAGGTGCACGGAATTGGAGCAGTTCGTGCAGCTGAGCTCGTAGAGAGAGGAATCCGGTCCCTGGCACATTTGCGAGAAGCTGTCGCCAAAAACCAGGTGCGAACAGTTACATTGTCACATTGACACGCTGTGCTCCACACTCTATCCAGTCTCCAGGTTCATTTGGACGCTGCTCAGGCTCGTGTTCTGAGCAGATAGGGCCTACATCTGAATCATGATCTGAGATGGGCCTTCCGCATGGTAGGCAGCAAGACAGCAGGGCAGCTGCAACTGATACAGCAGCAGGTGGTTGGACTTCGGCACTGTGAAGAGTTCATGAAGAGGATACCCTATGCACCCTGTCGCATGAAGCGCTTGCCGCGCGCATTTTGTTTGCTCCGCATGCAGCTCCAGGCAGAGATGTTGGAGCATCATCAGAAGCTGGAAGCTCTTCGATTGAAAAACAATCCTTCGCTACTGCTTACTGTACGGACCTTAGATGTGTACACATTTGTACACACTATCGACATGCTTTGTCTGCAGTCCAACTTCAGCAGAACCCTCGCGCCCAAGATCCTGGCAGGTTTGTGGCTCCTATCGGCGTGGACGGCCAGACTGCGGCGACATAGACCCTTTTGCTGTTATTTACCTGGCGTGTAAAGCTTACCTTCCTGGCTGATATCATGCCTGGCTGTTCCTCGCATTGATAGGCATGCGGCTGAGGATGTGCTGATCAGCCACCCTGACTACACAACTGCAAAACGAGATGCGAATGCCGGGGGTAAGCTCCTGCATGGCTTTGCCGCTTGTCAGCTGAGGTATACTGCAGTATTAAATGACAATACGTAAAATGCTAGTAATAATAACAGTAGTAATCTGGGTGGGTCTTCACTTATCGAGGCCCGTCAGTCAGATGCAGCTGAGGTGGAGTCCCTGAAAACAAGTGGGTATGTCACAGCGGACTTGGCGTTCGGCAACACAAAGTTCATGGGTGTTTGCAGGTGATGGTTCATTTCATGTTATATCTAGTGCGAAGTGCCGCTGCCTGCAGCCAGGTTATCCGGAGAAGACCGGTTGCACCGACGGCTTGACATCCGCTGCCTGCCCAAAGACCAGTACCATTTCGGTGCGCTTCCTGGTCTTGCGTATCATCGGCCTATGTGTGGCATGCGCTTGCAAGAACATCACTGCATGTGAACGTGCCGGCTGATGCCAATCTCAGCACGAGCTACGAGATATGACGCAAGCCCCACATGTTCTCAGAGCCCTCAGGAAGAAAGCTTGGGCGGCATGAGCCCACGTACACCAACATGTCACAATGTTCGGTCAGCCTTAGTACCTGAGCCACCCGTCTATGTCAGGTCAGGTCAGCATCACCCTTTGATCTTGCTTGGTTTTGCATCCTTTGTTGTGGCCGCCATGAGTTTGGACTGGAGTGACCGGGATTTGCTGGAGCACCTTGGTTGACTTTGTGCATTTGGACATGAGCTGCAGCTTCGGCTAGGGGATGTCATGGGCAGGGGTTGCTCAAAGACGTCCATGGGCTACTTGCAACAGGGCTTCGTGGTGGAAATGGGATCCGGGGTTCTCATGGTCTTCCCCGTAAGTTTCCTTCACTGCCTGTCTGTTCGGCCTGCGTCAGACGCTCAAACCGAGCACAGCCAGCACAGGTGGGCGCAGAGGACGCTGCCCGAGTTTCTATTGATGAGCATGCAGGACCCGTCTGACAGGACCGAGTGGGCCCTGCTTGCGAAGTCATGAGTCAGAAAAGCCTCAGAGCTGCGTATGAACTCAACGGCTGCTTCAGGAAGAAGAGCGTGGCATCAACTCCGTGGAAGCACTACGAGCTTTCCATTGCGGAGGTCCAGCTGGAAGGCTTAGCAGAAAAGGATCCTGCGCATGCGTAGAAATCAAAACCGTCAAGCCCCTTCCGCGCAGGTGAGGTGAATTTGATTGGTAAGAAGGATGAGCCCATGCTACAGTTTGACATCGACTTGGGTATGCGCGTGGATGTAGAGAAGAGATCGGTGCCTGGGCGTCGTCCATCTAACACAGATCAGCCAACAGACCCTGGGAGCATGCGCGTCGATTTGGCAACAGGTAGACCGGTCGAAAGATGATGACAGCAGCGATTATTGGCCGGGCATCGCGCAGATTGTGCACTTTGAATCTGGGGCTGGTCAGTACCCGCCTTTGAGTTTTGGTGAAGTTCCCTGTGCTTTCTCATAGGTGTTCTTTTCCCGGAAAGCACACCATCAGCCTGATGCCGTGTGAAGCACAAGTCCCAAGGACAACGAGAACATGAACCCGCCAATTATTACACGGCTGCAAGAACTGCCGGATGACATTGCCCCCGAGGTGAACTGGTACCTTCAGGACGCATTATTTGCTGCATTAAGGCTGGCTTTGAGCAATTCTGCACTAGCACTAGCGCTGCAGGAGGGTATGGGTCGGCAGTTCATATGGCATGGACTCGCAAGATGGCATGCCTATGCGGTTGCTTGACTGAAAGGAGAAACTTTGTGCGGTTACATCAATGGGGCGAAAATGATGCATGCAGGTCCAAAAGTGGATGAAGCACCAGATTGTGCCCACCGTGCAGGATGGGCCTGCAGAGATGTGGGAGCGCGAGCAGCGGCAAGGCAAATAAGGAACGTTGATTTCCCGCAGGATCCTCTCAGCTGTCCCATCGCACCTCCGGCGTTCCCACCATTCCTCGCTGAGGCCCGCAAGAGGCCGGGGGGCCCTTGTCACAGTTGGCTCTGGATATGATCGTGTGAAGCAGGGCTGTTGAGCTTCTTCCGAGGTCCTGCTTTGCGACTGTGAGCCTTTGCAGAGGTACGAGGATGAGATTCGGCAGATCCTCCTGAATTCAGATGATGAAGAGGATTTTGCAGACCATGGCCCAGCACTGGGCGCGCACCTGAACAGTCAGATCAGAGCAATCTTCTTGAGGACGAAGAGGGGCCGGGCGCTTTCTTGGACGACCAGGAGAAGGTCAGCTTTTCCGGTTTGCTGAGTTTGGGTCAAGCCACTGGTCTTCGTATGCACGTGCAGGATATCAGCTTCAGCTTGGCCGGTGCTGGCTCAGGCTGCATCCATGATCTGATGCCCAGAAGAATTCTCTCGGAAGCTGAGGGTTACCCTGAGTATGCGCTATGACTGAAGTGTCAGGAGAACGTGTGTGCAATGTGCTGGGTCACTCACGTTCGAAGCGTTCTGACATGAGCTTGGAATGAGGTAAGTCCTCCAGTGTCTGATGATGACGATGACTTCGACCCTTCCGCTCCTTACGAATTCAGCGATGGCACTTTTGAGCGGAAACGAAAGGGGGCTCCGCCAAGCATGAAAAAGTTTGGAAGATATCCCTTCCTTCCATCAATGCTTGCAGGCAGGACCACAGTTTTCGAAAAAGATCAGGTGAGAGCAGGTAAAGGCTTTTGAATTTTTGCACATGACAACACCCCCGAGTTGAATCCCCCTCATTCCGCCTTCATTTTCCGAACGGCCCCTGTGAGGTTTGGGTGGGCCATCAAAGGATTGGCTACCGCCGAAGGAGCACGCTATCGGCCATCCAGAGTGGTTTCAGAACACTGCGAAGTCAGTTGCGTCACCGAATGGGGTCACACACTTGGATTACATTCTGCAGAAGGCGCGAAAACGAAGGGAAGACTTTGCAGCATCCTCCGCCTACAAGCTCGTTGCCATGCGCGCGGCCGATCTCTGCTCGGCAATTGAGAATGGTGATGCCATGAAGGCTTTTGCCAAGCTGGATCAGGAGACAGCCAGTTGTCCTCACCCCGAGACAGGCCGCTGCGCGGCGCACTATTGCATCGCCAAGACCTCCCATGAAATGCTCCAGATGGTCCTGGAGGCCAGGGCCGACCCCGATGCGCGCGACTCCTTCGGCCAGACGGCACTGATGATGGCGGCCAAGCAGGCTGTGCGTCTCTTCCGTAAAAAACGGGCAATACTCTGGGTGTGTAAGCATTACTCTGGTGTCTAGCATTGCAGCAAGACCATGCCAGGGTGATGAGGAATCCGCGAAAATGCTCCTGGAAGCCGGTGCAGATGCAACCCTAACTGACTCGCTGAACCGTACAGCCTCTGAGATGGTGAAGGCTATGCTAAACTAATTTCTCTTGCAAGTGCTCTGTTTGAGCAGTGCTGATATCTCAAGAACCCGACTGGCACCTGTTCAGGTTGTCCAGCCGCCTGGTGAGGAAGAGGAGAACCCTTTCAAGCATTGGCGGGAGAAGATGGCCGGAGAGCCTATCCCAGAGGATCCGGCAAAGAAGAGCAAGGACTTGAAGGCCCTCATCGATGACCGCGAACGACCCAAAAAGTACAGTTCCCTGCTGCTGAATGCATTGACTCAAAAGGATATCAGGACGGCTGAGGCCGCAATAGAGGCCGGCGCAGACATCAATCTTGCAGATGAGAAAGGCGACACTGCCCTTTTGCTGATTGTCTGCTACTCAGAACTCCTCCAAGGGCGGTAGGGTTACAGTTTATGGGTTGCATGCGAGAGGGGATGCCGAGGTGAAAAGCAAGTGGAAAGACTCTCAAGGTTTGCAGAGCCGCCTGGTGAACAAGGCGTTCAAAGCCGGGGCAAGCATTGACTTCCAGAACCTTCAGGGGAACTCTGCCCTGCACTTCGTGTCACACCGTGGCAACCTTGAGCTAGTTGATCTGCTTTTGGGCCTCAAAGCCAATCCGCGACTGACAAATGCGGAGGGCAACACACCTCTGATGTATGCAGCCCACAGTGGCCACGAGGAAGTTTGTGCCGCACTGTTGGAGGCGGCTGCCCCGGTGGATGTAAAGAATCGTGGAGGCCTCACCGCCCACGCCATGGCGGAGCGGAAGGGCTTCAAGTCTTGTGCTGCCCTCATACACGCATATGCGCTGGCACCCAAGCAGGCCCGTCTTGGCACATGTCTGATCCGAGTTTCTATACTTGTAGCATAGAGTGTAGAGAGTTTTGCTGTCAAGCAGCTGGAGGCAGATGCCAAGAAAGTCGAGACGAAGCGCAAGGATGCCAAACCACAGAAGCTGGACTTTGACTACTCGAAATGGGACTCTCTTGAGCGGGAAATGCGTGAAGACGAGGAGCAGGAGCAGACGAATCGGATGCGCGAGGCCAACGCAGCTGTGCGAAGGCGCGGTCTGTTTGTAGGTGCTTTACTTAATAGATGTATTCCCAAGCAATTATCTTCTTCTTTTGTCTGTTTTGGTAGCGGACTCGACCGGCTCAACTGTTCTAGAATCTGTGCAGCTGGAGCCAATGAACTCATGCTCTAACCTGGATCCTGTATTCATGTCTATATAGAAATGAGAACAGCCGAAGCTAGAATTTCTTGCAACCATAGTGCAGCTGACAGGCCTGGGCCCAAGTTTGAGGACCTCGGTCCAGAAGCCTTCGGCCTGCCTGCAGATACACCCTGGCCTCCTGATGCATCGATGCGAAAGAAAGGGCCTTTCGACTACGGGCACTGGGACAAGATTGTTGATGACATTGAGCGCCAGGAGAAGGTGTTGGACAGGTATGACCAACTGCAGAAGAACCCGCAGTACGAGTACCGAGATGGCCAGAAGATGCAAGTGATTTTCTGAGTTCCACTCACTTGCCTCTAGAGGCTTAGCTAGGCGCTAACGTTATGTGTAGATGCTGTGACGGCTCTGCGGTGCAAAGCGCTGCGAAGGGTTGCTAGTGACTAGGTGCCAGTGTTCCCTGCTTTGTGGAGCATGCTCTCCGCACATGGTGTCTTTAGGGCTATAGAGCCTGAACACTTCTCTTCACATCTATGCACCCGTGTGGAAACACAGTCCGGTGAAGCTTGCTCAAGCTTGTACCCTGTAGTATATTGGGTTTGTATAAGGATAATGGAAAAGAAAATGGAAACTACTCTGGACTACTCTAGTAGTTTTCATTATCCCTATATAACCCCAATATGCGCCCTAGTCTACTTTCGTGGCTTCCATTTTCTTTTTCCATCATCCCTATATAACCCGGAATATATTATAGTATCAACCCTAAACCCCAAACCCCTAAACCCAAAACTCTAGACCCCCTAACACCCTAAACCCCAAAACCGCAAATCCTAAAGCCCAAAAACCCCTAAACCCATTGTACCTAAAGACATCTAGCGTGCTTCCAGGGATGCTGTATTTCACTGGCAGCGCGGACTTGGCCTCGGGGGGGGGGGGGGGGGTGTAAAAGCACATGGAGGGTTAAGGCTTAGGGTTTAGGGGTTTAGTGAGTTTAGGGGTTTGGGGTTTAGGGTTGATATAGAGATAATGGAAAAGAACATGGAAACTATTATAATGGGTTATATAGGGGTATATAGTGTGACATATAGGGTTATATAGAGATAATGGAAAAGAAGATGGTAACTACTATAATGGGTTATACAGGG